TTTTGCATCTGCTCTAAGGTTTCTGGAAGAGTCGTTCCCAAACTTTCAGGGAAAAGAAGGGTAATGATTCCAATCAGGACAGTCAGACTACCCATGAGGATGTAGGGCAGCATTCTGTTGTAAGCACCTATAAAGCATGGGACATAAGAACATCAACAAAATATGAGGACTCTCTGGGCACTCTTGAGCATCATTTTGTGAAGGTGGGGAACAGTATGAGAGTGGTTTTAAATCTGAACATTTTCAAAGAAAAAAGTAAGCAAAATATCCGTTTCTTTTTGGCAGATGACATTGTGCATTTCTGTAATGCTTTTGCATTATCATAAGGTTTTTCATTCTTTCCTGTCAACTGGTATCCTCTAAGCTACTACTCAGTCATGTGTGACAGATATTCCTTTGGAGGTTCTTTGCCTACCAGAGTTCTCTTCTTAAGGTGGAGGTAATTGGAAATGGAGGTTAGGAAGACATCAAGGAGAAGGAGGTTAACCAGGATGTTTCAGGGATAGGTTTTGGCCATGATAAGTCTGGTGTGATCTCTGCTTTTGCCCAAACTAGTAGGATGCAGTGGAAAGTTAGGTCCGCAGAGCTATGAGACTCAAAAAAAAAAAAAAAAAAAAAATCTAAGTATTATGTTCACTCCAGATTAAATCAGTAAATAATAAATATCAGGCACTTTCTGCAAAGGCACTATGTGCCTGGATTTGGCTTCTTTTTGCAGCATTTACATGTCTTGGGTTAATATGTAATCTCTTCTTTATGAAGCTTTACTCACTCTGGAGAACAACAGATCCTCATCTTGCTATGCCTCTGTATACATACAGAGCTTATAGAGGAGCAGCACACCCATGGATTTCATTTGACCCAAAACAAAAGGAAAATATTGTTCTTGAAGCTTTTCTGAGGCCTCTGTGTCACTAACAGAAGTAGCGACTGAAGAGTAGAAGGCTCTTGGACTTCCTGTCTTATGTACTGGTGTCTGACCACTGGACTGTCTGAGCATGGTTTGAAAGTACAGGGAAGGACAAAGGGAAAAATAACACCACTCTGTATAATCTGCTGTCTCAGGTGTGGCTCAGGGCAACTGTGCAGAATATGTTTAAGTTAGGAAAATGTTTCTCTTTCTCTGTAAGGATTTGGATTATACCTTTCTTAGGAATTCATATATATTTTCAAGTGCGTGTGTGTGTGTGTGTGTGTGTGTGTGTATGCGCCTGTGTGTACCAGTAGGTAACCAATTGAGCAATTGATGAGGTGTGTCTACATTTCTTACCAGTGGAGTCCTTAATGAGAATCAGGCATGGAGCGTCAGATCCTACCTGACCTTAAACATGCTACTGAAGCACCTCTATCGTGTCATTTCAGATTGACACCTTTGAGTATACTAAAACTAAAATTGTCTTCATTACAAAGATACCATAAAGTCAAGATGCAAATGGTAAACTATAAAAAATATTTGCAACATATGTACAAAGGGCTAATTTCTTCCATTGCAAAGAGCTGGTATAAATAAAATGAAAAAGATGAATATACCATTAAAGAATGGGCAAAGAAGGCTGGGTGCAGTGGCCCACGTCTGTAAAAGGCCAAGGCAGATGGATCACTTGAAGTCAGGAGTTCAAGACCAGCCTGACCAATATGGTGAAACCCCTCTCTACTAAAAACACAAAAACAAATTTAGCTGGGCTTGGTGGCATGCGCCCATAGTCCCAGCTTCTAGGGAAGTTGAGACAGGAGAACTGCTTGAACCTGGGTGGCGGAGGTTGCAGTGAGTTGAGATTGCACTACTGCACTCCAGCCTGGATGACAGAGCGAGACTCAGTCTCAAAAAAAAAGTGGGGGAGGGGCAAAGAACATGAGCAGTCAGTTCACTGACAGATAAATAGAATGGCTAATAAATGCACAAAAATATGCTTAACCTCATTCATAATTAAATAGGAATGAAAGTGATGATATCCATTTTTTACATAACAGATAACCAATGATAAAAAAAATTAGGTAGGCCAGGTGCTGTGGCTCATGCCTGTAATCCCAGTACTTTGGGAGGTTGAAGCAGGTGAATCACTTGAGCCCAGGAATTTGAAACCAGCCTAGGCAACATGGCAAAATACTGTCTCTACCAAAAAAAATTAGCTGGGCTTAGTGGTGTGCATGCCTATAGTCCCAGCTACTTGGGAGGCTGAGGTGGGAGGATCTCTTGAACCTGGGAGATTGAGGCTGCAGTGAGCTGGGATCTAGGATCACATCACTATACTCCAGAGTGAGACCCTGTCTAAAAAAAAAAAAAAAAAAAAGAATTAGGTAATCTTTATTGTTGGTGAAATTATTAGAAGCAACCACTCCTACCTATTAATAATTAGATTGTAATTTCATACAATATTTAGAGTTCAATCTGGCGATATCTATGAAATTTTTTAACGGCACTTTTGCTCCAGGAATTTTACTTTTATGAATCTATCTGTGAATCCAAATATACGTAAGTAAATTCACAAAGGGTGTAGGAGCATAGGAGAATGTTTGTTGTAATGTTCTTTGTAGTAACAAAAACCTGGAAATGACCTGCATGTTGGAGCGCAGTTAAATAAATTATGTGTATACACATACAGTATTGGAAGAACTATGTACTTATTTTTAAAAGAACATAAAGGAGCAATATGTAACCATTTGGAAGGATATTCTAATACAATGTTAAGTTTTGAAAGTTTCAATGTATATAATGTTATTTGTGTGTTTATTATTTTTATATTATTTAATTTATTTATTTGAGGTGGAGTTTTGCTCTTGTTACCTAGACTGAAGTGCAATGGCATGATCTTGGCTCACTGCAGCTTCCACCTCCTGGGTTCAAGCAATTCTCCTGCCTCAGACTCCCGAGTAGCTGGGATTACAGGTACCCGCCACCATGCCCAGCTAATTTTTGTATTCTTAGTAGGGGTTTCACCATGTTGGCCAGGCTGGTCTCCAACTCCTGATCTCAGGTGATCTGCCTGCCAAAGTGCTGGGATTACAGGTGTGAGCCGCCATGCCTGGCCTGCTTGTGTGTTCAAAAAATTTTATAGCCACCACCCCTCATGCTCCATCTTTGTCCATGCCATTAAAAAATTTCATAGATATTGCAAAATATGTATACATGATGTTGTGCAAAACAAAATGTCTGTAGGGCTACTCACCAAACAGTTCATTTTGGCTTTCTAGGGCTCCTCCTGGGAGAGGAGAGGTGAACTTGTACTTTTTTTCCAGAACATTCTATGCTATTTGGAGTTTTCACAATGAAAATATTTTATATTGAAAGCTAATTTAAATGAAGGATAAATGGACAAGATGCAGCTCACCAAGGTAAACAAAGTAGGGGGCAATGATGCTGCCCACTCTGGAGGCCATGGATGTGACCCCCACCGCCATGTTCCTGACCAGGGTTGGGTAGAGCTCCGCAGTAAAGACGTACAGCATGGAGAAAGCAGAGGTGATCCCAAATTTTCCCAGCATGACCAGACCAATAGATAAGAAGTAATAATCTGGAAAAGAGACCTGGTGTAAACAAGGGTGCTTTTAGAAGTGATACTTTCTTATCTCAGTTGTTTTTATTATCCTTTTTGCTTCAGTGGGAGTGCTTTTATTAACATAAATGTATTCCCAAATAGCCTTTTCTCTTCAAATATCCTAATACTTGGGCACAAGCAAAGATGGAGTGTGAGGGGTGGCTTTGTACTTTGTTCTCCTGTTATTCTAGGTCATTAGTGCATTCAGTGACCTTTGTCCACTTGTCTTTTGTTTGTTACAACAAACAAAATTTCATGGTAAGCTATTAGCATGTTAATATAGTTAAGTTTTATCTTCAAAGAGGAGGGCCAATCCTTTCTATCCTGTTATTATCTATCTTTTTTTTTTTTTTTTGAGACGGAGTTTCGCTCTTGTTACCCAGGCTAGAGTGCAATGGCG